CCCCCCAAAAAAAAAAAAAAAAAAAAAAAAAAAAAAAAAAAAGAACCGAGTGAAAAAACAAGAGGAAAAGCGTCTTACCTTCGACTGATCTTGCTGTTGCAGCAATTGTTCCCTGAGCAGCTGCAGTTGCAGGATCATCTCGGAGAGCCTGCGCTCCTTCTCCGCGAACGTTTCCGCGCAGAGGACCCTGTGCAACGCGGACGCGCCGTCCTGCTGTACCTGGCCTTCCGCGTTCTGCATCCTGCCAGAGGCCGGCGGCGAGGGTGGCACGCTGTTCGCCACGCTGGCGATGCCTCCGCTGCAACCAGTACACCATCAGACCACGGTCAATTACGCTTCACCTACGTGCGTGTGCGTATACGTATGCACGTACACGCGAGAGGGAGAGGAGAGAGAGAGAGGTCTCGCTCTCTGGTTGGAGGCGAGAGAGACAAAGAGAGATGCGTAGAAAGAGAGGAGAGGAAACCTACAGTAGAAAACAGTAGTGGTAGGTAGATCGGCCACGTACGAGGCTATTCGCGTGCGAGCAAGAGTTTCCAGTGGCTGTGCCGGGCTTCTGGAATGGGATAGTGGTTGGCGTGCATAGGGCCGGGAGCCAGGTGAATAATAGATAGGGTCGCGGCCGCGCAATCACGGTAGCCCGAGTGTTTGCCCCGGTGATGGGGTGCTCTCGCTCCTTCCTTCCTTCCTTCCTTCCTTCCTTCCTTCCCTCCTTCCCTCCTTCCCTCCTTCCCTCCCTCCAACTGCCAACCTTCTCTCCTTCTCTCTCCTTCGCTCGGCCTTTAGACCGACCACCGGTAACCAGTTCGTTTCGCTCTCGCTCTCTCTCTCTCTCTCTCTCTCTCTCTCTCTCTCTCGCGCGCGCACCTTTCTCCCCCCATTCACCCGTTCCAACGCGGTTTCTTCCCCCTAAAGTGCCCTCGTGGTCTACGCCCGGAGCTCTCTCGTTCCTCTCTCCTTTTATACCGAGGAAAATGGACCACGAATAAGTGATACGGACGCATTGTGCGCCGGAGCGGAGGCTGCCCCGACGGGCTCTGCGCCCGAGAAGCGAGCACACACGAGAATCGTGAAGGACATCGCGCCGGCCGGGAGGATAAGGACAAGGATTGAAAGAGCCGCGCCTTCCGGAATCTGGGGCAATATATACGGCTCGCGCCTCCCCCGAAACCGTATGGCGTTTCTTACGGGGTCAACGGTTAAAGGGACGCACGAATTTTAAAGTTTTCCTTTTTTTTTAAATCCAAGACCGTTTCGTGTCCGTGATTTGCTCGTCAGACGCTGACGAAAAGCGACCAGAGGGGAGAGTAGACATCGATAAAGATTCCATTTCTTTCCCGACTCATTTTCTTTTTTATTTTTATTCCGTCGTGAATACCGTCTTCTATTGTGTACCGCGCAAGATATTCACTTTTTTCTTTTTTTTTTCTTTTCAGCGGTTGTAAAAATTGGAGTATGGAACAGTAGTGGCCACTAAAAGACCAAATGATACAAAACGAAAATAACTTTTACAAACTCGTGTTTTTTTTATTCGAAAATATTAATGGATTTTCTTCAGTATTATGTGCGATAACCTACGGTAAAAGGAAATAAAAAAGATTGAAAATGAGCAAGTTGTGACTTTTTTAAACTCTTTCGCAAACTCGTGTTTTGTTATTTTGAAATATAATTAATTCTGTTCAGTATTATGTGCGATAACCTACAAAAAAAAAAAAGAAAATAAAAAAGATTGAAAATGAGCAAGTTGACTTTTTCAAACCCTTTTGCAAATTCGTGTTTTGTTATTTTGAAATATAATTAATTCTGTTCAGTATTATGTGCGATAACCTACAAAAACAAAAAAAAAAGGAAAATAAAAAAGACTGAAAATGAGCAAGTTGACTTTTTCAAACCCTTTTGCAAACTCGTGTTTTGTTATTTTGAAATATAATTAATTCTGTTCAGTGTTACGTGCAACAACCTACAAAAAAAAAAAAAAAGAAAATAAAAAAGATTGAAAATGAACTTATGACTTTTTGAAATGACCCTTCAGCTTTTCAGTGATCCTGGCGGCTCATTGACAAGAGAAAATCGCGCGTCGAACGAAACCCCGTTACCTATCGAGGAAACAAAGAAGAAGAAGCGTGTGTACGTACGTCCGTTATTCTCGCGCGAAAGATCCATACCGTGCGTGACTTTCTTTCACGCTTGCTTCCTCTCCCGATAATAACGCTCTCTTCTTCCCATGGTGGGCGGCTGTAAGACTCTATTCGCGCCTGTTGATACCTCGGTGGTATCAGGCAACAAAAGGTTCATTCTGTCGCTATTATCATCCCCTTCCTGCAACCCTATTGGCGAGGAGAGCTGCGTCGACTTCGTAGGACTTCTTAGACTTTCCGGCTGGCCAAGAATAGACGCGTGTCACTCGCGTTGCTTCCTTTGTCGCCAATTTCGCGACGTGCCGTTATTTTCGGCGGGCGCGCGGTTAAAAATAAGGTCACCTGCCGAAACCGATAAGAAGCCAATCCTCGAAACACTGTCCTTCGCCTTCGATCGGTTTGAATCTCGCGCGAGCAACGACCAGTTCCTCCGGTTGTATTCTCTTCTCCCCCCTGCCCTTTGGTCTTTCTGTTTCTGCGTCAGTCGTGCGTTTTATCGCGCGTAAACGCAACTTTCGGGCGACTGAACATACGTTCATTATGAAATTGATGATACTTTTATCTGCGGCTAGTGTACCCGACCGAGTATATATCACCGAAACGCTCACGCGCACGCGTAACGCGCATGGTGGAAGTTGGCAAGCCAGATGATACTCGTATCAAAAGTGGAGCGCGTAATAATAATGACGGATTTTTGTCACGCTCGCGCGCCACACGATTTCGACGCGGGTAAATGCGTTTGGTTTTTTCAATCTCTCTCGAGCCTCTTTAACTCCGAGTTCCGAGCCTCGCGTGCGTCTTCGCGTTCGTGGAAGCCCACCTCTTTCTCTTTATTATCACCGAGCCTCGATATCGAAACGATTGAGAAAAGTTTAAATTGTAAGGCCAGCCTTACTGCCTTACATCGGCCCAGTATCCGTTTCTTTCCACGGTTTTAACGATTCGCGGTACGCGGGCAGCTGAGGCCAGCGAATAATGCCGGTGTTGTCCGATTTAGTTTGAAAGCCCATCGCCGAGTATCTATGCAGAGAATGATTACAAAATAGCAACGCTCTTGTCGTCGAACAAACGAACATTGTCGGTACTCCGTGACTCTCTTACAAAACCGCCACGATCCCTTAACCGAACGGAAATTTATATCGAATCGTCGGTGTGAGGGAAATTTCCAATATAATTGTTACACAATTAGACGATTTGATTCTCATCAATCTCAATAAATAGATAAATCGTGGCCGAAACCACGTAGAGTTCGCGAGAACGAGAGAAACCGATGGACAAACGACAACGACGACGACGAGTTGGCGTAACGCGGGCAAATTTACAAGGTGGCCGTAAAGATCTTTATCGATTGATCTAGGATAGGTGCAATTTGCTCGTGTTCGCGATCTGTCGTTGAAACAAGCGTCCCCCATCCGCGGTCGCGTCCAGAATTGAACGCGCTCCAAAAAAGCGGGTGAACGTCACGTAAGTGCGAGCTGTCGTACACAGTTGGCTGAATTTTGGAAGAATTTTGGCCGTGGTGCCGGCGCACGCGGCGTGTGGGCAGCGGATTGGCACGACAACGCTCCTCGTACGCGCTTGCCAAGTTCACCGGTCCGCTTTCAATGGTTACACCTCGAGGTGGATCGCATTCTGCCACGTTTCCGCTCGCTTTTCCAACGAACTCACGATGTTGCCAGTCGGGGAAGACACGGTCCGCGCGTGAGTGACAGTCATCGTTTCAATCATCGAGTGGATCTTTTTCTTCTTTTTTCTCGATCGTCGAAATCGTCATCGTCGGATCGATGATGCACGTGGATGGAATCACACGCGGCACCACCCGTCGAGTCATGAGTTTTATTCTCGTTTTAATTCGGGAAATGAAAATTGCAACGAAAGTCGAGTAGTGTATCGTAGTTATAGTATTTTTAATTACTTTACGATTTCGAACCGCTCGCCGCGCACGTCGAGAATTTTTTCTCCAAAAATTGTAATATTCTCTCAGCTTTGAGTAAAACAGAACAGGCAAGACGGATAATAAATTTGTTACTTCTCAATAATTTCTATCCAGTGATATCGAGTACCGACGAGTTCGAAAAGAGAGCGACGAATTATTGTACACGGGTATATTTTGGTCACTCGTTATGGTCCGCAATCAGATTGCCGGTGCCAGTTACGAACAAAGAAATGGACAAAATCCCAACGTTATTTAACAAGCATAACTTTTCTAACGAAAAGATACACGTTTGACAAAGACAATCGCGGACGATAATCAAATCGAATACACGTATGCACGTTTAGTAAATTAACAGAGGTTTCTCGTCAGCCTGTACGAAAGGAGTTCGCAGCCGAGATGATCCGACCAGTCATCGATCGAGACGGATGGCGATCCATAATTAGCCACGTGCGGGTGATCTTCATACTCTGTATCGTCGACGTTGTACATTGTGCGAAGGATGTTCAGCGAGGACGGAAAAAGCTCCGGCGTGGCCGCCGCGCCGATACAAAGAATCAATTCATTCACGGGCATGATTACATGCAGCAATTATTATTACGTGACCGGTCGATATCGACTTTTAATATAGACTAACCGCGCTCCGCGATAACTTACACGCGCGTGTCTATCTCTTCGTGTTACCCGCGATAAATTTCCCTCGTTTCGCTGAACTTTTTTTCTCTGCCTTACCGACCGGCCTCTTTTCACAAACGATGCGAACGTACATACGTACACACGTATATTAGTACAATACCCCGACATTCTAATATTCTGATAAAAATTCCAATTTTCAAAATTGGACTCTACAACGGTCGAGGCTGGACGAAATTTTCTACCAAATCTCGAAGGCAACGCGTGCTACAACCACTAGAACCACTTTTTCTCCTTTTTTTTTTTTCGCAAGCTTATTCCGCAACTCGTTTTCCAACAAAGTGGAATTCGCGATTTTTAATGTCCCGTCAGTGTTGCGCAATTTTTATCCGCGGACTAGAGGCCTTACTTTCACTCTGTACGACGACATAGACGACATAAACGCACGAAGAAAGAAAAAAAAAAAAAAAGAAATTCGTCACGCGCGAGAATATTGCCCCACTTGTGTTTCGATGGTAATTTCTGTTGCGTAATTGCGCGAATCAGACCGATCGATCGACGATAATAATAATATAAACGGAGCAAATACTTTTCAATTCTTCGACACGTGTGACACGTGGTGTTCTGGACGTTTTTAATTGGAGACGGGGCGCAGACTGACTCGAGTCGACTCGTCTCTCGATTTCTTATCGTCCACTCCTCGGATACGTTTCTTTGTCGCCCGAGTCGAGGCAAGTCGGATATTTTCAGGCTCTCTTTCTCTGTGGACCCCTTGTTTTTTTGCCCTCGGCCCTCCCTCCCGGTCTTCCGGCGACTTCCTTTACGCTCGCGTCTCTTTGTATTTCACGGACGGATCTCCCCCCTTGGTTCGGTAACGAAGAGTCGGTTTACGACTGGAATCTGTGGATCTCTCGCCCGTTCCATCGAACAATGGACGCTTTTGTGGCCCACTCGCGTGGCCGAATTTAAGCGGCCGACGCTTGACGAACGAAACAGGACAGAACGAACGTACTCGCGCCGCTGTCCGACCTGTTGAGCGCGAAAATATCAGTTCCTCGAATTTCAGAGTTGATAACATTCCCTACAGCTCAGGTACTCTTCTCTCCATTTGAGAGTTTCTCGCGACAGTTACTCTCCATTTTTCTCTCTCAAACAGTTGAGAGCTCGCGGACAGTAACTCTCAGAAGCAGCATCCATTTGCGAGAAATACTCTCGAGAGCAGCAACTTCGCGGCAGTTTTACTCTCAAATGGACAAGTACCGTTAGATGCATTGGGCATTTAGGGGAAATTCTATTTCTATATAAGCGCCTCAAACGCAAATCGAAGATTCAGAGTACAACGGCGGATTAAAGACGCGGCGATTGCGACATTCGTGACGAGCGCGTCGAATGGTGCCACGAGCGACAGATAGAACCGAGACAATCTCCGCTAATTAAAAGGAGATACAGGTTGCGTAATACGCGAGAGTATCTACGTGACGGCGGCAGAGCACCGCGGAGCTGGTGAATCCGGTGAAACAGGAAGGAACGCTCGCCAATGGAGCCGGCCTCATTCCCCCCCCACCCCGGGGCTGACCGGCCACTTCCTGGCGCCGTTTAATTAATGCTCGCCCGCTATCGCGACAGAAACGGAGAAAGGAAAACCGTAAATAGCCGATACAGCTGGTGCTGCTCTCGCTGCTCGACGGTTTGCTAACGTTACTCGAGAATACCTCGGCTCGATCGATTTCTTTTCTCATTTTTACGAAAGACTGACGACAGAAATCGGAGCTGGTAGTGGTAGTTTTTGCGAAGCTGTGTGAAATAAAGGCTAACTGACTAACCAGTGGGCGTTGTGTCCGGTCGGCGTGGAGGAAGGTGGCGGGCTGTTCCGTCTGTTGTTGGTGGTATCGTCCTGCAGCGACAGCGATTCGCTGTTCATCTTGCAGGTTAACCTCTTCAGCACGTCGTCCATCGATCTCTTGCTCGTGACGGTTGTTGCGTTGCTGCCGTTGTTGTTGTTGTTGTTGTTGTTGTTGTTTTGCGTGACGGTGTTGTTGTTGTTGTTGTGATGAGGATGACTGGGGTAGTAGGGGTCGACGGTTAGGGGTGTTGGCGGCGAGCCGCACTCCGAGGAGCTGGCCGGTTCCACGACACCACCCGACGACGACGATGTGTTGGTGTGGTGATGGTGGTGATGATGATGGTGGTGGTGGTGGTGATGGGGGTAGTGGTAGGAGGCGAGTGCCTCCTGGCTGGACAAGACGATCCTTTGTCGCTTGCTTTGCAGGGAATTGGAGGACGGCGATGGCGAGTCACGAAGATCCGGCTCGCTGGTGGTCGCCGGCGACGAACAGCCGGACGACTCGCAGTCACCTCCCCTCTGGTGAGGGTAACACTCCTCGATGTCGACGGGGGTGGCGCGACCCTCTTCACCGACGGCTATCTCGCCACCGGGACCACCGGTCACCGACGAGGTCGTGTCCTCCTCCTCCTCGTTGGCGCCTGCCACTGTACCCGTGCCGCCCCCGCCCTCCGATAGCTTCGTTGGTGGTGACTTCCTCTTTGAGGACATCCTCAATCTGCAACGAGACAAACGAAAACCGAAACGGTTAGCTCTTTCACGGCTATCGCGAGCGGCGTCACGTCGCGTACCGTCGGTTTATCACCGTCCCTGCGGCAGGGAAGGTGTGGGGGGAAATTAAGACACGCGAAGGATCTTTGCTCGCTTCTTGCTCTTGCGAGAGCAAGCTCATGTATCTCGCGGAGTGTTGTGTCGCACAGGCTGTGTCACGTGGTCACGGTAGCAAGGTGCAGATAACTTAATTTTTTGCCTCTCTCTGTTCTTCGCGCGATACGCGCCAGATACTTTGTTTTCTAGCGTGTCGCATGGAGTGTTACGCAACGACTACAAAGTTGCAACCGTATCGCGCAATGGTCGCGGAATTATCTCTGCCGTCGTTGAATGTATGTATATGTATATATATGTGTGTGTGTGTGTGTGTGTGTGTGTGTGTGTGTGTGTGTGTGTGTGTGTGTGTGTGTGTGTGTGTGTGTGTGTGTGTGTACTCGTGAATCTAGTACACACAACGCACGTGTCACGGTTAGTGCTACTATGCCGATCGCCAAGCTATTCTCTCTCTGTCCATACGATTCAACGGTGGCGGGAGGGAAGAATAACGCGCGGCTAAGTTACAGAGTCAACTTTGATCTTCGTCTTTGTACCTCCTTGTCAAGGCCCAGCGGCAGGCAAACAAATTGGCTCCGAACTCTCATTCTCCCTGAACCGAATTCAGAAAGAAAAAAGGAACGCACGAACAACAGACACTTGACAACTGTATCTGTGTATCTAATTTGTGTCACGCCTTACTCGCCATCTTCATTCAAAGAGCAACGACCATGAAACAAAATTACGTTACACACCATACTCTACGTGTAATACATACGTACACGTATCGAGTACACTTTTGTATCGAGAAGTACAGGCGTCGTTCCAAAAAACAATTACAGCAAACCTCCATAACGGTCCCTATTACCAATCTACCTTCGACCCATCCCCTAAACTCAATTCAAAGACAGACCAGACTGCAGGGCAGGCGACCGGAGAATCTCGAGATCGCCTCCTTGCACCTATTCGTCGTCTAAACTCTATCTGTCGCTAATTTAGCAACGGGCTAGCCCGGGCTGGTCCACCAATTTCCGTCTCCAAATTACCGAATCTAAATCTAAATTTCTCGACGGGGACGGTCCCCTCCCGCCGAGGGGGGAGGCGAGTCGGTGCCACTCGGTGCGGTCGAATTACGTAATCGAACATAAGTCGCAATAATCGAGCGTGAATTATTGTTGTGCGCGCGTGTTGTAACGCACGGTCTCTGTTCGTCAATCGACGCGCCAGCTAGGCGGAGGGCGACCGGGGGGCGACTGCTCGGCACGATTATCTTCGAGTTCTGGTAAAGACGAGGTTGCGAGGTCAGCTCCAAAATCACCAGATCAGCCGATATTCCCGAGGTCGTGTCTTTCATAGGAATCTGACCGTTTGTCTCGAACTGTCTCGAAATTCGATGGGATCTCGAATTGATCAAAATTCTTTCCAACATTCACCTGTGCCCAGTCGGTCGATATCCATTTTTCGACGACGTTCGCTCGCAGTCAGCGTAGCGTAATACGAGTACTGTCGAACTCGATCGGACAATCGTGCAATCAACAACGTATAAATACATTGTAATTGTGTGGTAATCAAGCTTTCCCACAACAAAAGTGAAACAAAGTGACGACTCGGGAGGGAACAAACCCCACAGAGAATTAAAGTGGGGCATTATTCACGGGAATGATTTTCATTGTTCTCCCAAAGTAGCAATCAATTACGTTATTGTTAATGTTTCGCAATACGTGGTAACAATGCACGCACGTGTATACATACGTTCCAGAAGTAGTGTGTTTCGTAGTGTTTATTTATAGAAATATATCGGAGCGCAAATTAATTTCATCCGAGCAAGACGAACGAAGAGCGAAGATCCACACAGAAGTACAATGTTCGTGACGCAACGTTACTGGTATCGTGATCATCTTCTCACTTGGTATCGCTTTGGTTCTGAAGTAATTAACAAGTGGAATAGTTTCTGGGGAGTTGGATTATTACCATTTGGTTTCACGTACGAAACAAACGAAACGATATACCGATCGTGATCGCGAATCTCACGCTGTTGTTTCCATCTTTCGTCTCTGGGGAAGTAACGTACAATTATCTGATGCCGCGAAGCGGTCACGGTTTAAAAATCCGGAAACGAGATGATTCCACGGATCAGGTCGGATCGGCTATTCTCGAATTTAAAAAATACGAATTATAGATAATTCGACGCGATTAGCGTTGTTTCGTACACGAGGGAAATAGAATAGCTTCCCTGCCTTGCAAAGCGCGAACGTAACCGTCTGATTTCACTGAAACGAACAACGGGACAAACGCTAACGATTCTCTTCACAATTATCGAGGACGATAACGATCATCGATGCAAAACTTTTTGAGAAAAGTGAGACAAGTTCCCCTCGTTCTTCATTTTCAATTTTCCCGAGAAATTGTTCGGCATCGATCGACAGTTTCGATGAACTTTCGTAGCTTTCTTCCACGCGTGGCTGAGGGAAACGATACGAAAAGCGAACAAGCGTTTCCTCGCGAGCATCTGGCGATCGTTCGTGACGAAAGAAAGAAAAAAAAATCAGTGCGTCGATAAAGCTTTTCACCGGCGAGAATCGAAAGAAACGCTTGAAAGAATTGTGGCTGAAGCTGATGGAACCGTCGAAAAGAATTCTAGTCGTGCGTTTCAGCAATATGTTAATCGACGTTGTCAATATTCGTGGGCAGGATAATGTACACAGAAACCAGGGACAAAATTGCTCGTGCTGTGAAATATGAAGTTTGAACAGGTCCGATCGAAGCATCATGAGCAGATCGTGGTCGAAAGTCCATAGCGTGTCCTCGTTGATCCCGGACGCGAGATAATCAATGTCCGAATTTCTTCTCCGTTCGTGTGCACGAACACCGACACGCACGTTCGACACAAGGCTATTTTTACGGCCGATTAGCTGTTTTTAGCACGCAACGTCTAAATATCCCCGTACTTGGTTGGATTCTCATTCGTCAACCGTGTCTACTGCCGGCAGCCAGATTCTTTTTCAAAGCGTAGAGAGAGACTCGATTGCGCAAGCCGGCCACATTTTCGTCGCTTTGGAATGTCCTTCGTCTTAGCCTTTGCCTCTTCAGATAAGATACGAAGCGAAAGGTTGCACGATGCGTTGTACTGCGACGTCAGAAGCGTCGAACGAAATTTAGGGACGTTGCTGCGTCTAATTTCGACGAGGCAAGGCACACGATCACACGTCGTTTATCGAGGAAACAAACCGATTATTGGTATCGAGGTGAAAGCTTTGAAATTCACTCGGTTTCGTTCTCGAATAAAATATATACAACCAATGGCGGACGAAAGTTTATAGGCGACGAGCCACTATTCAGCAGCTTGCGCGCAAAACCTTGTTGCACCGTTATCTCTCGGAATGAAAACTTCTGGAGAATGGGATCCGCTTCTCTGGACGAAAATGAAGCTGAAGGAGGAATAGAGAAGCGCAGAGATTTTTGACACGGAAACTTGGCTCTCTCCCTTGGCTAAAGGAGTTAACCAAGTTTTAGTCTTTTAATTAAAAAGGAAGAAACCGAGTAATTTGAACAGGCTCGTATAAAGCTAAACTCTTTAGCCCGTGAAACGCGCTCAAAGTCCGGCCGCGGCGTCGCCTCGAAAGAAGAAAAAAAAAAAGGAAAAAAAAAGCAAAAATGTCAGTTGCATTGAAAAAGGTGCAAGTAGGGGCTGTTCGATGGTTTTAAATAGGACGCGGCGCGCAGAAGGCAGAAAATATGTACAGCAAAATCAATGCTTCTATTTATATCGAGTCTCTCTCTCTCTCTCTCTCTCTCTCTCTCTCTTCGCCGTGGTTGTCTTTGCACTCAAAGTTCTTTCAACCGGAAGGCGGATCTTATCGCCGACAGATTATCACTTTCATTAACTGTTTGACTAATTTTCTAAAAGCGGATAGACAAGAAATCTATTACGAATTCGCGGAAGGCTGCAATGAACTCATTAGCGGGGAATACTTTGACTGAAACGGTGAACAGTTTGATTTATCGGTTTACCACGTTGCGAGCGGAAAATTAAAGTTTTTAAAGGGAAGAGATGGCCACGAAATGTTTAACACGCTGGAATTTCTATTATTCCAATCAACGTGAAACAGCTGTTTGGATAAGAGGAATATCTCCAATCGTTCGCTTGCCTATATTTTTGGAAAAAAATAACACGATCTCGTCGCGTTCGGGTTGTTCAACGCTGTTGTTCATCTTCCAACGAAACATTTTCTTTTAATTACGTTACACGTTACATTTTATACACGTTGTATCGTTCGAAAGTAGAATCAAAGTGTATTTTGTATTTCTAAGTATATTTCGTTGAAAAAATAAATAGAATACAGAAAGAATGTAGAATAAAAGGAAATATTGGGGCGTACCCATACTTATGTCGTTTTTTCAATACTGTGCAAAATTTTATTTTTTTTTAAGAGTTAATGTAATTTAACAATAAGCACATTAAATGTCGACATATTTATAATATATTAAAATATAGGTTATGTTATAATAAGTTAAATTATTGTCACTAAATGGCAATGTTTGATAAACTTGAAGAAAACGACATCTTTGGGTACCTTTAATAAAATGTAGAACAAAATTTTTTTACTCGAGGCACCGTTTTCGAAAAAAATTCGTTCGAAAATTTATCAAGTACACTTGAATTTGGTTAATTCCAGGCGTATCAGAAAAGACAGTTGTTCTACGTGCAAAAGTAGGTCAAAAATGTATAGAATAAAAGTTTTCTACATCTGCAAAGCTTAATTTTCAAGAAAATAGACTTTGAACACAGTCTGTTAAAAATCGCCTTGATAAAGTTATAAAATTTTTTATAATTGCTGATAATTATAACGAACGTAGGTTGCACGTAAGAGGAATAATGAAATTTCAAAGGAAAAAATTCTCGAAGATAGAGGC